TCATTCCACATACATACATACATACATACATACATACATACATACATACATACATCTTCTTGTGATTCTTTGCTTGAATGAATTATTTTTGGCTACTTAAGCATAATAAACCCATGCCTCCAAAAGTTCAGTATGGTGAAACCTTAATTGTGATAATTATCATTGATTCATATAATCTTACTAGAAATAGAATGATACTCATTTTCCTTGCATTTATTCCTGCAGATATTTTCATGAAGTAAACAGGTGTAGGCAGAACCGTATTATGTAAATTTATGTGAAATGCTCAGGGGTCTTCAACCCCCTGTCTGTGGACCGACCCCAGTGTGCAGCATGCCAGAAACAGGTCCGCACAAACAAGCAAAGCCCCATCTGCAGCACGCGAAATCATGCCCTTTCCAGACTGCGGAAAACCTCTCTCTATGGAACTGGTTTCTAGTTGGGGGCAACTGCAGTAGATAATCAGTTATTTCTGATTTCCAGTTGTGTAACAATATTTGCATGAATTCAGTTCATCTCAAATTCAGAAAATGAACTCCTAGGTTCAGAAGATACCCTGATCTTTAACTCAGGATTCACATTAACACATAGTCTGGATTGTTCATTTGTTTATTACAGGGAAATGTATAAATCCAGTCCTTGTGATTTATAAATGATTTATAAACCAGAAGGGTTGGCTCAACTGAAATCGAACAAACTGCATTATAACTTAATATAATCTGTGGCTTTGACAATAAAATTAGCTGAACATTGTGCATATCTTTTGTACCAATTCTGATTAGTGGATCTTGGACTTGTAATAAAATGAAATCAAATCAAATACATTTGTCAAGCCTGAAATCTCTATCATCTTGTGAAGCATTCCATGAATTTTATGACATAATAAATAAAATAGTCTTTATGTTGATGTTAAGTTGTGATGACCTTCTTAAGATAATTACAGTGATTAGCACTAATTATGGCTTTATTAGAGGCAACATAAGTCTGTACTTTGCTTCATTAAAATAAAATGTAGACTTAATGTTTTATATATGCATTCACAAGAATGCAAATACAATCACAGTATATTACGCCATTCTCAAGAATCATGCAGGCAACGGTTTTCCCTGTGACCACCTATGGAAGCAAAAGTTGGACTTTGAAGAGAATTTATGCATTTGAACTTTGGTGTTGGAGAAGATTCCTGAGAATCCCAAGGACAGCCAGAAAAATAAACAAATTCATCCCAGGAAAAATGAATTCCAGAATTCCCACTCAAGATATAAATAATCCTATTTCAGACACATTATGCAAAGACCCAGCTCTCTGGAGAAGGCTCTAATACTGAGAAAGATGGATGGAGGGATGGATGGATGGATGGATGGATGGATGGATGGATGGATGGAAGGAAGGAAGGAAGGAAGGAAGGAAGGAAGGAAGGAAGGAGATGACCAGTAACAAGATGGAATGGGTTACAGACCTGAAGGACCTGGTTACATTTGATTGTCCTGGAGAACATTTTCATTAAAAGTTGATGCCAACTTGACAGCACATAAATTAATAATCAATAGCACCCTTCTCATACATGTTTATGAAAAACATGTTTATGGGCATACATGCTTATGAAAACCATGCACAAAAATATGCATTTATTACATATGCTGCATTGAAAATCAGTCATATGGAGTCTTCCCCAAACTCCTTTTTCAATCTATCTCAAGCAAAACAATTGCTGCAAGAAAGAAGGATGAGGAAATGAAACTTTAAAAATGCAATTTCACTTTCTTTAGAGAAGAGAAAATGTAGATTACCAACTGTAAGTATACTACTAATACACCAGCACAACTTTCTTGTGAAACAAAAGCAGAACTCAAGAGCCGGAACAGGGGAAAGAAAGAAGGAACAATGAAAAAAGGTGATTAATGTTTTCTGATAAAAACCTCAGCTGCCCAATAAAAAACAAAACATCGCTGATCCCAATATTAATACCGTGCAGGCTCTGATTATAAAATGGAGCTTGGATTTCTTTGTAGTGTTAACATTGTTAAGTGCTACAAAAGGAAGCCATGTTTTCTCTGGGCTAGCTTTGCCAAAGTTTCCAGAAAGGACACATCTGGTGAGAGCAATCAACCAATGGAATAGCTTAAACATAGAACAATAGAGTTGGAAGGGACCTTGGAAGTCTTTTAGTCCAACCCCTTGTTCAAGCAGGGGACCCTATATCAGTGGTGGCAAACCTATGGCACGCATGCCAGAGGCGGCACTCAGAGCCTGCTCTGTGGGCACACACGCCATGCCCTGGAGAAAGCAACTGCCCCTCTTCAACCAGCCGCCTGCTAATTCGCTGAGGTCCCACGTGGCTGGATGCATCCCAACATGTCTGGTTTCTCTCCCTCCCCGTCCCGTCCCTCCTGGCTTCGCATGCTCTCTTTCCAGCCATCCAGCTCAGAGGAGGTTTCTCTCAACTGCTGACGCACACCATTGGCCCCCATGCGCTCACTGGCATCTGTATGTGGGGGCCGATGGTATCAAGCAACAGCCACACCAGCCCTTGCCTTGCCTCATGGCAATGGCAGTCCCGCCCTGCCTCGCCTCGACCTGCAAGACAAGCCTCCTGCCTACTGCCCCCCCCGCCAGAGACCCCCTGGATCTCCCTCAACCCTGCCCACCCCCACAGGCATCCTTCTCCACAAGCAACATTGAGGTGACTACGCCCACCTTGGCCACACCCACCCAATCTGCCATGACCATCACAGCTACGCCCACCCAGTGGGCCATGCCCATCTGGCATCCAGCGATAAATAAGTAGGTTTTGGGTTGCAGTTTGGGCACTCGGTCTCTAAAAGGTTCGCCATCACTGCCCTATATCATTTCAGACAAATGGTTATCCAGTCTCTTTTTGAAAGCCTGTAGTGATGGAGCATCCATAACTTCTGAAGGCAAACTGTTCCATTGGTTGATTGTTCTCACCAGATGTGTCCTTCTGGAGACTTTGGCAAAGCTAACCCAGAGAAGAGACAGCTTGCCTTCGGAAGACCTCCAAGGTCCCTTCCAACTCTTATTATTCAATGTTCTATGTCCTAGGACAGCTTTCATTTGACTTCTGCAGAACCAGCTGCTTAACAGCAAGCATTCTTTTCCCTTTCCGTTTCTATAGCACCCATTCCGAAGCCCCTGGGCAGCATACCATGTCCTATTGACATAAAAGAAGCAACTCACAAAAATATTCCTCCCCCATTTTATTGATTTATGAAATTTTTAAGGCTGCCCAACTGAACAATTGCAACTCTGCGTGCAATCAAGGGGGTGGGAACCAATAGGATTAACTGAAATATACCTTAAACTCCTCCAGATAGAAACTTCAATCACTTCAATCCCACCTTCTCAGGAAGACTATCAATAAAAATAAAGCTAATGCATTGGGGTTGCCCAATAATCACCAGCTTGGTGTCAGATGCTTGTTTTTAAAGATTTGCAATGCCTTCTGGAACATCTTGAACGAAGGAGCTACACACAGCTGCAAGTGCTGGAGCCTGGTGCTGATCCTGGTGCTTCCGCTGAGCCCTCACAATCCTGCAGCTCCAGCCATCTTTCGCTCAGGCTTGTGCGGTGCTGCCACTGGTTCAACTCATTCCCCTCCCCTGCTACCACTTTTCTAGGATGGTTGCGTACCACCTGCCAGGTGCCAATGTACCACAAGTGATACCCGTACCACTGGTTGAAAAGCCCTGATTTAGATCAGCATCTAGCAACAGATCTCTGCATGATTAGCACCTATTTCAAACAACCAGTTGTTTACCAGTAGTAATAACCTCTTAAAATTACACTACTGAAAACTTTTGGATATGCCCACAGTGTTTTATGTATAGAGCCATATTCCATACAGAGTTGCATACATGGCTATATAATGGGCATCCACAGGGTGTCAAAAAATTCAAAATGGTGGCTGCAACTGCAATTGAAGTCCAATCGCTTTTTACATACATATGTGACACACATATAAAGGGGTGGAACTTCAATTGTTTGACTTCCCCAGATGCTCACTTGAGAAATTTGAGGAAGGGCAGATCCTCTCCTTCTTCTTTCGATAGAATTATATGAACTGGAGAGAAATGATCTTTATGTTATGTTAATGCTATTTTTGTTTTCCATATGTAAACCTTCTCTCTCCTCTCCTCTCCTCCCCCCCCCCTTTCGTCTTTTCTTTCCTTGCTATCTGGTCTCTTAGTGGAGGTGGCCATATGTTGGCTGGATCCACTCTGTCTGAAATTAGCCATATGGGGCAGCTCTTGTGCTGTTTCATATATCTAATTTGACTCCCTCTCAACCGGAAAATAGGGGGTTTGCCATCTAACATCTTTCCATTTTTCTCTATTATGTGAGCAACAGCAGCTCCAAGGTTAGATTTTAGACAAACTGGAGAATGTTTGAATGTCAGAAGTTACCTTTCATTCTCTCAGATAGAGTCTGCTCAAAATGCTTCTCCTTTCTTCTTTCCCTGTGCCTGATCAAACTGTTTATTTGTTCAGTTATGTAATAAAGGAATTGATGCATCTTGATTGTCTTGCACTGGGAACAAAATACCTGTGCCCCTAGACTCTAGATTTCTATTTAATTCAGAAGCTAAGACCTCATAAATTATCTTTTGATGGGACTACTCAAAACGACCCAGATTCGATGTGTCCAAATTAATACTTAGGTTAGAGAAAGCAGTAACGAATTTTTTAAAATTGCTGAACTGTTCCTGGTGGAGGTGGGTGAGAAAAGACAGTGTTTGTAGAGAGAGAGGAACTCAGAGTAAGTCACCTTGGAGCTCAGTAATAACATTGACTCAGCCTGTCCTTGTGATTTTATTTGTTTGTCTTGGACATAGTCCAGACCAGGGCAAATATCTTAATGGCCAATGGAAAATGTAAAAAAAAAAAAAGTAGTAGACAAGGGGGCCCTGTCCAGGGGGACTGCAAAGTCCAAATGGGGCAGACACTCCTAGTGACAGGAGTATCACAATAAAAAGAAGACAACTCAAGGATGTTGCTGTGCCAAGGAATTTGGTTCTATGGTGGTAGTGCTGGGGTATCTCTGTTGAAAGTTTTTATATTTCAGAAGATTTAAAATCCAATTTTTTGACAGCTTTTCTTCCAGCTGTTTCTTTGGATGACTTGGATTGAAAGCACCACCATTTCCATTCAGCACTCCAGTGGTAGGAAGATGAGAATTGTAGTTCATGAACTTTCTGCCTGGTTTGAAAGCTTACATAAAATGCAAAATGCATATATAGTATATGTTACTAACACCATTTTGCAGCAGTACTGCAATCAATAAGAATTTAATAGGCTTAAAACCCAACACTCCAAGCCCAGAAGAATAATCCAGTGTATGCTTCTCAGCCCATATAAGGTAACTTAATAAGTTTTTGTTAGCAAATAAAGTTTAAGCAAAAGACTTTTATGGTTCATAGCCGATTTTTGACATGTACTTTTGAAAATGAAACACGAAATAGAATAATTTTGCTCAAGGTGCTACAAATTTTAAATTGATCTTTGTTTCTAACAAAGCTACCCTCTGGAAGCCCATCTCATATTTATTTATTTTATTTATGAGACTTATATACCGCTTTAAGTGCAAGCACTCTCTAAGCGGTGTACACCAGTAAGCAATGTATATATATATTTACATTGCCCCCAACAATCTGGGTCCTCATCCCTAGCTCCTTCCCCTTAACAAGTGAGTAGCCCATACGAAGGAATGGTGAATACATATTGAAACAGTGATGAGCAATTTCAATTTTCACCAAAGGCAGTAACACCCAAAGGATGTAAATAGATTACATACACGCCTAAACACAGCAGCACATGGAGGATTGCTTTCATTTATTTGCAGGACAAATCCACATAGCTCACAGCCACTCAGAATCGGAAACTAAGGTGTTATCTAATTGTTAGCATTACTTGTAGAGGCCTTACAGAAGAATCTTCCGATTGTTGTTATTCTCAAGCAAGGTCTTAATGAAACCCTAAAAACATATGCTAAGAATGTGCTTTTTTTCCCCTCAGCGGCCAGGTTCAGGACAATGGTCTGAAGTTAAACTCCATTACGGTATTGGCTTGGCATCTGTTTATCGGCCATTACATCAGCTGAGCTGTTTTCTTGCCTGCAGCTTTAAGGGGTGGGAAAAACTGATGCAATTGTGGGCGTTCTAGGAAAAAGAGATATATAGACCGAAATGCAGTCTCCCCCACAAACAAACAACCTTGGAAGACTTGTTCTTGCTGCTGCAAGGCGTCGCATTGCCCTGCTTTTTTTTTCTTTCTCTGCCATCTGGGACCAAGGGACGGGTCATCATGTCCACCTCTTTCGTCCAAGCCGAGAAGCTGCGCCCGACCGCTTTCGAGGTGGAATATTTTGACCAGTACGATTTCTATAGCTTGACCGACAGATACAGCGGTAGGTGCGCTGGTAAAGCTGCCAGATTTGGGGGGTGGTGGTGGTGGTGGTGAATTAAAGTAGGCTAGATTAAAAATCAGAGGTTTTAAGGGACTATCAAATCAAGAAAAGGGCACAGAAAAAAAAAAGAGCAGCTTGGGCGTTAGGAGGTGGGATGTGGCATCGCTTAATTTTGGAGAGGCACCCGTGGGGCGTGGCAAGGAGAGATAGGTGACGTCAGGTGTGCCATTACATCATCGTGGCTTGCATCGCATGCCTGTGGTTAGATTGTAATCGCTCCCACGCTCGAGATTGCTTGTTTTGCAAACTGCATTAACGTGAAATTACCTATTAATCTGGAATTTGTCTTTCCGATTAGATGTCTGATTTCACCTTCGTGCGTGTATTGTAAGGAACATCACTCCCATAACACAGAAACGGGAATCTCTGCAAAAGAGCTTTAATACATACTAATCTAAATGAAAAATACTTGCGGCTCTACAATACACCAAGGAGGGGGTTGAAAGTACTCGCATAATCCATAATAAACTATTTCTGAAAGCTTGTGGGCTAGCCGTACCTTGGCTTTACGATCTGACAATTGTATAGTTTGCTAAATAAACCCTGGCTTCACAAAATTTGTAAACCAAGACTCCCCAGATTCTTGGATTTGGTTAGTATGTTATGTAAATCCAGACATTGTGTTAATTAACCAAATTTTCTATTACTCAGTTTTCAAGCTGTTGAAAGTCCCACATTGGTCTTATATCCACAGAGACACAGACACTCTGCTGGCACTGCTTACACATTTGTGTGTGCTTGGCACATGATTCCCACAATGACTAACAAACATGCCTTTGCTAAAAATAAATACATAATTTATGTTTTAGCTCTAGTGGTTGAGAAAAAAAAACCCAGTAACCTTCCAACTGGCCTAATTCCTAACCAAAAACAATAGGCTGTTTTTCATCCCATCATTTTTTTTAAAGTCATAACTTATTGAATTTGCTTTTTGCATTTTAAAAGAAGCTGTAGAAAAATCAACTCTAGTGCACATCAGCGTTCCATCCAGTTTTTCCACCTAGGCACAGGCCTACATATGGCCAAAAACAAGTCCTTACAACTCATTTTAGTGGAAACTTTCAAAGCTATTATCATCCTTCCTAAAACATTATCCTCAAATTAGCATTAGCTTGTAGAGTTTGGCAACCACACACCCTAAAAATAACCCTCTTAAAATCTGATTTTGTTAGATATAGAGCCAAGTTTTTCTACAGAGCCACAGAACACTTTTTCACACAGTCTGAAGTTTATGAACCAAAATTTCACAAAATTTCTTATTTTTTGCTAAGTCAATGTGAAAAGGGAAGGTATTTTTTTCAAGTGGTTGCTGATTGCAAAGGGAATAAAGTATGCAATGCATGTAAAAAGTAGCTTGAGTTTTGATCATGTGGTGATGGCTGCCATCTTCACTTTTTTTTTGACATCCTGTGGCTTTTCTTGCTCCTCCTCCTTTGCTTAATAGACAGGGAGAGAGGCTGGAGTTCAACAACATCTAGTAAACTATCTATTATCTATTCCTGGATTTAAACAAGAGCACATGTCAATGGCTCTAAGTAATTAAATGTTCTGGGGTATCCTAAGGTGGCTCTTCACGCAAAGGCCGATCTAAGAAAGAGGCTGAGGACCATACAAATCGTCCAAATCCTGGTGGCCACGAGCGCAAGATCGTTTTGAAGCTGCAACGCACAGAGCAGAAGCGAAAGGCGACAACCTCCAAAAAATGAAAAAATGCAGGTGAGAAACCAGTTTATGGCTTGATAAATAACTCCCCTGACGTCAAGAGCTTTAACCCAAGTGATTGTCCATTGACACAAACTGGTAGAAAGAAGCTGGGAGGGGCTGCTTTCCTTGCAGAGGGAGGGCACACAGCCACTGTATCAAATGCAGTGTATTTTTTAATCTCTTAAACCATGTGTCCAATCTTGGCAAGTTTTAAGACTTGTGGACTTCAACTTCCAGACACCGAGCCCCCCCCCCCCCAGCCAGCCAACCCTTTCTTAAGCCATTTTTATCAGCCATTTGGACTTCACGTGGAGGCTGCAAATATATATCCCTAGGTAGAAGCTGCACCCACTATCACCATTTTCTCTTCTCTCCCGCCAGCTCTGAATCTGGTTCTCTACTCAGGTTCTGGACACCATGGCAATGTCAATGAGGATATGGAGACTGACGGATGGACGCCGTGTAATTTGATGGTTCCTTGAATTATGGAAGATGGTAGACAGTCTTAAGGCTCACATCAGGAGCGAGTGAAAATGAAGGCTGCAATTCATCCCAAAATCATTAGGGGGGGAAAAAAAAAAATCCCCAATGCCTTAATCATTTTTCACTCTGGAAAAGCAAATGAAATGATAGCACTTAGGCTCGGAAAAGCAAATAGCCATCCTAAGCTTTTTTCTTTAATATTCCTCTCCTCCCAAAAAATCAGGATATTGTGATGTCTTAAATAATTTTGAAATTTATCTTGAGGGAGGAATTGGTTCATCTATAAATGCTATTAGAAATGCTAGGCCAGTTTGTCTTTCTCCTTAGGAAGGGGTAGAGATAGTAGATGAATAAACTTTATAGTATGGGGAAAAATGAGTTTGTAGCAATGTCAACTTCACATAAATTAGGGAAACGGGGAGTGGGGCAGAAGAGTGGATCAAGAGAAACCTGTATTGGGATAAAGGGAATAGCATTTGCTTTTGTGTTTTTCCATGCTAAATAAAATTGGCTTAACTCTTTTCTTGCAATTATTTGAGTGAAATGAAGCGTAAGTATTCAGTGAGCAGAAATAAACAGAAGGAAGAGAACTGAGGCAGATTTTACAATAAGTTTTTATTAAACACTCAGATCCCTTCCTTATCCCCCCAAAAGTACCTTGGCAGTATTTGTTGGTGCACATGGCATAAAAAATGAGTCCTTTGATTTCAAGTCAGTCTGATGCCTCAGGAAGAAATGCACTTTAATAAATGGTAAATAACTTCTGACAAATATCTAACTTTGGTTTGTCAACCTTCATCTCTGCCACCCTCCAGAAGTTCACGCCAACAAGATGAAAGAGCTTCCAGAGAAGCAAAGAGAATGCAAACCAATCCCTCCCCCCCAATTTGATGGGAACAGGGAAAAGAGACAAAAATTATCTTAATAGATTACCAGAGCCAGGCTAATTTGAGTCAATTGTTTTCCTATCCCCAAATAGCAAATTCTTGCTCAGATTAAAACCAGAGGTTAATGTGTTTCATTTTTTCGTTGCACTTACTATAAAGGACCCTGTTACCAGATCTGTACAGTAATGTCTCCTCCACATGATCAGTTACATTATTTCGCTTAAACTGATGGAAGCCAAGCCTAACTTCGGAAGGACTTAATACATAGCAACTCAGAAGAATTAGCAAAGTGTTGTTTCTAGATGCAGCCATGATAATGGTGCTAACCCAGAATTAATGCAGTGAGATCAAGTGAGCTGAATTGGCCAAAACATAACTTATACGTCCTGGCATTGGAGGAAAAGCTAGCTTGGGGTTCCCATGTGTTCCAGGGCATGCTGAATAAATTATAAAGGTCAGAGGTCTGGGGAAATCTCACAGTGTTAAGTACTGTACTGGCATTGGTTGGACTATGACCAACTAATGAAGAGACTGTTACAAGGATCCATGTCCCATCTTTCACTCCCAAGAGATGGTCACATAAAGGCACTTGTCACGTGAAATGGAAGGGCATACAGTCATCTGCATGTCCTTCGCATGCTGGTACATTTAGAAATATGAGGTATTGTACAAACGACAGATAAAATTATGCTACATTTAGCATAATAAGCTTATGTGAACTGTCACTTTAGATCACTAAGGCAGCAATCCAGAAGTGGTACCCTTGACATCTTGATGCAACTACAACTGCCCATTATGATAGGAGTCAACAAAGCACTGGTTTATAATGCTGCCAATTTTAACATCAGGCAGGGCTCTGCCATTTCTAAAACCAGGAGCCACGTTCAGCTGGATGCAGAATTGGACTTTGCCGCTACAGTCCCCTCATCAGGTTTGAAAACATCATTCTATCCATAGGCAGCAAACAGACCAGCAGAAAAGATAACCAGTGAATCAATCTTTTCAGATGTAGGACATTAGAGGTAAGGTTAGTCGCAATTCAAAAGGATCCAGGATGCCATCCCTATCCAACTGGTCCTGCCCTATGTGAAAGAGATGGCAACTGGATTGGATCAACTGGACTTGCAAGGCTTGCCGTTGTAAATGCTCTTCTCTAGGTATTGATGGGGGGCAGGGGGAGAAGAGGGACGTGGAATATTCAGAATAGGCTGCTTTCAGTTCAAGTCCTGTTCCCCAATGCTTTGTCGAAGGTATTCCTCATAGAGCTTTCTCTGTAGAGAAAGAGGGTAAATTTTTAATTTGCTGTGTTAATCAACCCGTTTCTCTGGTTACCACAGAATCCAAACAGAACTCATACTCTTGCCCACTTAGGTCCTACAGAACAGATACCAGTCCCCATGTGAAACTTCAAACCACCCCATCCAAGTTCCCAAAGCAGTAACCTTCTTAGCCAAGACCACATCCAACACGTAATCCCGTCGATCTTCCAGCTGCCGCTTCTGCTTTTTGGAGAGAGTGGGCTTCATTCTAAGTGGGACAAAAGTAAGATGATAAGAATTCTGGTGAACAGCCCTTCCCGGTAAACAGGAACGTTCTTACCTGAGAGTGTAGCTGGCCAAGAGCAGGAAGAGAATCGAGAGGAAGAGAAGACCAAAAAATACTGTTAAGGTTTGATCTTCAGGGACAAGCCTCCAGACTGATGCAACCGGTTGCTGAAAATTAGGATTAAGAATAAAGGATATACTTGATATTAGCTGAGGAAAACATAGGTTTATCCACTTGCACTTTTAAGAAAATAATAATATAAAAATACATTTTTGCCAACAATGTCTGAATTCTATGGCAATAATGCACAGGTATCTTCGACTTACAACAGTTCATTTAGCGACTGTTTGAAGTTACAGTGGCATTGAAAAAGTGACTTATGACCATTTTTCATCCTTACAACCGCAGCAGCATCCCCATGGTCACATAATTTACATTTGGATGCTTGACAACTGACTCACATTTATGATGGTTGCAGTGTCCCAGGGTCATGTGATCATCTTTAGCGACATTCTGACAAGCCAAGTCAACGGGGAATCCAGATTCACTTAACAACTGTAAGGACCCACCCCACTTTGCATCTTAAGAAGACAGAACTCTTGGAATAATTCTTCCAACAGGAATCCTTTATTAAGAGAAAATGGTTGCAGGCATGCTAGACAGGACTTGGGGTCCAAGCTCTCCCATTCAAGGTTTTAAGGGGTTCCCCAGTAGTCCCACCCAATCAACCCCCCTTCCAGTGATAGTTTCAAGTATCACAATTCCACCCCGTTTCTTCTTTCTTCCGTCTGGATGGAGACTTCAGATAACTACATGAAAGGCAAATACTCTTCTTTGTTAATGCTAATGTTCTCTGGATGCTAACGCTTTGAGGTTACAATAGGTTACAATAAACACACATTCAGCATTCAGCTCTTTGAAGTCTACTGAAGGAAGTGAGGGCCATAAAGCCCCTTTGTTCTCCCCCTTCTCTCCCTCTTATGGCAGAATCCAAAGAAGGCAGAATTGGGAGTTTCTATATTTGATAATTAAAGATGAAATATGATTGGATTCTGACATCCGGCCCCTCTTAACAATAAGAGAGATCCACCTGAAAGAAAACACAAGTAAAAAATTTAGTTAGGCTTGTTAGGATACTCTGTGTGAAACTTCTTCAATAGCTTCGGGGCTCTGACGTGACGTTTATGGACCCACTCATTTTGTGAGGCAGGGAGGTGTTTCCAGGCAACTAGGTACTGAGTTGTTCCATGATATCTCCTAGAGTCAAGGATCTCTTTTATTTCGAAGTGTTGTTCCCCCTCCACCATGATTGGAGGTGGTGGGGGGGGGATTTTTGGCCGTAGAGGTGACTGATGCTCTCTTTTCAGCAAGCTGCAATGAAAAATTGGGTGTATTTGCCTGAGGTTTTTGGGTAATTCTAATTCTACTGTTACTGGATTTATGATCCTTTTAATTGGAAAAGGTCCTATATATTTTGGTCCAAGTTTTTTACAGGGCTGTAGGGACTTTAGGTATTTTGTAGATAAGTACACCATTTCTCCTATAATGAATGGTGTAGGCTCAACCCTTTTTTTATCGGCTTGTGCTTTGTATGCCCGCCTAGCTTCATCTAGTGATTTTCTGACTATTGGCCAGGTGTTTTGTAGGTTTTCCATCCATTCTTTCAGTGAAGGGATCGTTGGTTCTTTTGGGGTTAACTCTGGCATAGGGTTGAAACTTTGGCCGTTGGCTATTTGAAAAGGAGTGTAGCCTGTGCTGGAGTGGACTGCATTATTGTAGGCAACTTCTGCAAAAGGAAGTATGTCCGTCCAATCACTCTGTTGGAAATTTAAAAAACATCTCAAATATTGCTCAAGTACCGACTGGCATCGTTCCGCTTGACCATCTCCTTGAGGGTGGTGGCTAGATGTCAATCCCTGAGTGGTCCCTAAAAGGGATAAAAATTCCTTCCAAAATGCAGACGTAAATTGCACTCCCCTATCAGAGATGATGCGTTGGGGTGCCCCGTGCAATCTGTAAATGTGCTGGATGAAAAGTTTTGCTAAGGCCTTTGCAGTGGGAATTTTTTGGCAAGGGATAAAGTGCACCTGTTTGGAAAATAGGTCCGTGACTGTCCAGATAACAGTATTCCCATTGCTTTCAGGCAATTCCACTATAAAATCCATGGCTATTTCCCTCCAGGGGGCTGAGGGACTTGCCACTGGTTGTAACAGCCCTGGCGATTTCCCTTGCAACCTCTTTGCTGATGCACAGGTTGGGCAGCTGGCAACATAACTTTCTATGTCCTTTTTTATTGATGGCCACCAAAATTGCCGTTTAATTAAGTGTAAAGTTTTTACAAATCCAAAATGCCCTGCTGATTTTGTGTCATGGCAAAGTTGCATGAAAGTTAGTCTTTGAGTTGTTGGTATATATAACTTTTCCCCTACCCAAGGCAATCCGTCTCTCATTGTGCACACACGTTTGTTTTTCTGGAACCAATCATCTGTTTCCAAACTTTTTCTGAATTCAATCCCAGTTTGGCTGTCCAGTTGTGGTTTTATTTTGGCTTGGGTTCTTGTGGTTACTGGCGCTGCCAGTTGTGACTCTGCCATTATTGGTCTAGAGTCTGTGGTTCGTGCGCTGTTATATTGGGGCATGCGAGATAGTGCATCTGCCAGGAAGTTCTTTCTTCCTGGTAAATGTTTGAGCTTAAATTGGAATTGGTGAAAATGCTGGGACCAGCGGGCTTGTTTGGGGTTGAGTTTCCTGGAAGTTTTCAGGGCTTCTAAATTTTTGTGATCAGTCCATACCTGGAAGGGGATTTTGTTGCCTTCCAGGAACTGTCGCCACGTGAGTAATGCCCAACGTATCCCATAAGCCTCCTTCTCCCATACGGGCCAGCGCTGTTCTGTTTCCGTGAGTTTCTTAGATGTATATGCACAGGGTTGCAATACTGCATCATCATTTTCTTGTAATAGCACAGCCCCCACTGCCACATCACTTGCATCTGCCTGTATTATGAAGGGCTTGTCCATGTCTGGGTGCCTTAGTACTGGTTCGGCAGAAAAAAGTCTCTTTAGTCTCTCAAACGCTGCTTGGCACTCCATTGTCCATGTTAGTGGCTGGCTAGGTTTTACTGAGGGATGTTCCCTTCGTTTTTAGTAAGTTAGTGAGGGGCAAGGCTATCTGTGCAAATGAGGGGATGAATTGGCGGTAAAAATTTGCAAAGCCCAGGAAACTTTGTAGTTGCTTTCTTGTGCGGGGTGGTGCCCATTCTAATACTGCTCTGACCTTCTCTGGGTCCATTTCAATGCCCTGTGGGGATATGCGATAGCCTAGGTAGTCTATCCTTTCCTGGTGGAATTCGCATTTTGAGAGTTTGGCATATAGGTGAGCGGCTCGCAGCTTCTTTAAAACCGCTCTGACAAGTTTGACGTGTTCTTCTTTTGTTTCGGTAAAGATAAGAATGTCGTCCAAGTAAACAAGGACCCCCTTAAACAGGTGCTCCCTTAGAACGTCATTGATTAGTTGCATAAAGACTGCAGGGCCCCCTTGTAATCCAAATGGCAAGACTTTGAATTGATAGCACCCCATGGGGCAGTTAAATGCAGTCTTCCATTCGTCCCCTTCCTTGATTCTCACTCGATAGTAAGCTTCCCTTAAGTCTAGTTTAGAAAAAATTTTCCCTTTCGATAGGTGTGACAGCATGTCTTTCATGAGGGGCAGCGGGTATAGGTTGCTTTCACTGATTGTATTCAGGGCCCTATAATCCACGCATAAACGTAAAGAGCCGTCCTTCTTCTCTCTAAAAAGGACCGGGGCAGCCACTTTAGGCTTGGCTGGCTCAATGAAACCTCTCTCCAGGTTTTTTTTTATAAATCTTTCCATTTCCTCCTTCTCCTTTGGGCTCATGGAGTATAATCTGGGCTTCGGGAGTTTTGCCCCAGGCTTGAATTCAATGGTACAGTCTGTGGGTCGGTGGGGGGGAAGCTCATTCGCCCTCTCCTCACTGAAGACTTCAGCAAGGTCCCTATATTCCTCTGGTATTTCTGTTAATCTTTTTTCCTCTCTATGGATGCTTTTTCTATTCTTGATTCTGGTAGCCTCCCTTGGGGTTTTAAGTCCATAGGGTCCCCCTTCGGGAATTTGATTTCTGTCGTCCTCCAATTTACCCAGGGGTTCCATTTTTTCAACCATTCCATCCCTAGAATCATTGGGCATTCCATACCTGGGGTCACCACAAACGTTAAGTCCTCTTCATGGTTGCCCAGGGAGAGATGTATTGGCAAAGTGGCTAGGGTAGCTGGCACCCCCCCTGCTATGGATCCATCTAGCTGGCCAAATGAGATTGGTTGTTCCAGTCTCCTGGATGGGATGCCCAGATTCCCCACTAGTGTTGGGCTAATGAGGCAGCGGGTACAGCCAGAGTCTATTAAGGCTTTCACCTTCACAGCTTCGGGCATGGGGGGGATTAATATAGTCACTGTTTTGAAGATGGGTGTGATGCATCCACTTACCAGGGGTTCGCCCTCCGAGCTGTCATCTGAGGCATCCACCGGCCCTATGGTGTAGGCTGGAGTCCTTTCCCCTTGGTGAGCAGAGGTGGGGTTTTCTGCAATTTCCATCATTCTCATGGCCGTTTCTTTTGGCTTAGCTGAATACTTTCCGGGTTTGTTGATTTGGGATCTGTCTGGGTTGTGCTGGGGGGCCTTTGAGCGGCATTCTACAGCTCGATGCCCTTCTCTTCCGCACTTGAAACATCTCATTTGCTTCTTGGCATCCATAGGAGAGGAAAAAAGATTAACAGAAATACCAGAGGAATATAGGGACCTTGCTGAAGTCTTCAGTGAGGAGAGGGCGAATGAGCTTCCCCCCCACCGACCCACAGACTGTACCATTGAATTCAAGCCTGGGGCAAAACTCCCGAAGCCCAGATTATACTCCATGAGCCCAAAGGAGAAGGAGGAAATGGAAAGATTTATAAAAAAAAACCTGGAGAGAGGTTTCATTGAACCAGCTAAGCCTAAAGTGGCTGCCCCGGTCCTTTTTAGAGAGAAGAAGGATGGCTCTTTACGTTTATGCGTGGATTATAGGGCCCTGAACACAATCAGTGAAAGCAACCTATACCCGCTGCCCCTCATGAAAGACATGCTGTCACACCTATCGAAAGGGAAAATTTTTTCTA